GCCCCCGCCCCTCCACTCCCGCTCCCTCCCGCTCCCCCACTTCCCCCCGCACTCGAACTCGCGCCTGGCCCGCCACCGCTTCCTGTACCTCCATTCCCACCATTCCCTTCGGAATTAACTCCCCTAGCACTCTTCGCCTTTGCCTTCCCTTTCCCCTTCTTTTTCGCTTTCGGTACCATCAGAAGCGGTTCCAGTACCTCGATCCTAAAGCGTCGTTGTGCGAGAGCCGCGAGAGGAACAACTCTATCTGGGGGGGCGCCAGCTTCTGCGGCGGCCTCGGCCTTGGTGATGGAATCGGTATCTGACGCGTTGCCATTCCAGCCCCATCTCATGAGTTCGCCGTCGCGGCGCGCACGCAGACGTCCTGCGAGCTTCGCGTGCGACTCTTTGTTGCGTACGGCCTCCGCGACGTCGTCAATAACATCGGCCAAACGAAGCCAACCGCGGTCTTCCTGCATGGAATAGCTAAATTCAGCGCCTGATATCATGCCTGAAACTGATGAGAAGCAGAACTCACGTCAATGGCGCGCTTCACATATTGGCGGTTGGTATAGTTGAGAAGACGACTAACGGCGCCTGCTCCAGACTGGTACCGCTGGAAGCACGGAACCAAGTACTGGACGAGACGTTCGCTATCATCCTCCGGGAGCCCTAACAGTGTATCCCTCGCGACCTCTCCGAACCATCCATCCAGAAGTTCGTAGAAATCAGCACCGGCAGGTGCACCTCCGGGCCGTGGAACAGTGAAGTAGTTGTATACGGCAGTGTGTATGCCCATATGGTATCCGACGTCGAGCGCTGGTGCCTTTCCGGGATTGTTCGTGGGCGCTTGCATAAGGTGTGCGGCCGCTGGCGCAACGTAGTTCCACAGCGACTGCAGAGAAGCAGCAGGGTTCGCGCTGCCCGTCGCTGGGTTAGCCAGCGCGGGCGCTGGGCGCATCTGGGGCATAGTCATCGTGTGCGAGCAGCCCCGAGCGAGGGATGTAGATGATGCGAGTGTAAGCGGACACCGAGCCTGTTATAGGTCGGGGGCAAACTAGAACACCCTAAGCGTCCACAAAGCAAGGATACTGGGTGAATTGGGCACAAGAGCAAGACGGGCAAGAAAGACCAATGGCAAGCAAGATGATGACGGTGGAGAGAAACCAGCTGTTATAGGGGGTTGACTTGCAGTTTCGATCAGTTTTCTGGTGCTGGACGGATCCGGCAATCCCCCGGCTTCTCGTACTACCGGCATGTGCATATGCATGCTCTCTAGCTATACTTAAGCCAGTTATGGACGATAGTTTGTGGGGAAGGGTCCTTCTAGTACGCTGATGCGGGCCTACGCCACGCGCCCGCGAGCATCTCGTGTGAACGTCAGTGAGTAGAGTAAATTCATAGAACGCGATTATATGTGGTACGAGCCTGGGCGTGGATGATAGTATGTGAGGTACATAGCATGGACAGATACAAGATGCGAAATAGTACAAAGGGCAGTCCGTGATTAGATCGTGAGCGGGGAGTGAAAGCAAGAAGGAGAACAAACCGAAGATGACCACAGCATAGGGGAGGTCTACAAACAAAATACGGATTCGAGTTAGATCTACAGGCGATTCATTAGATAGGCATCCTCATCCATTCATCCTCAAACGACGCCGATGACGACGGCGACCCGGACACTACACTCGGGGCCCGCGGGCGTAATGCCTTCCCCATTAGCCCCGGCGAACTCATCCGGTCGCAAACTACTGCTCTTCCATCCCCAGCTCTGGCTGACAGCGAAGACATCCGGACCACTCGAGAAACGCGTAAGAGCACTGCCAGTAGCACTTGGACACGCGACAGTGAAGTACGCCGCAACCTGCGCACGCGAGTCACGATACGGAGCGGGAGGACCGATGGGCGGGTTCGTTGCAGGGAGCGACGTGGAAAACGACGACGAAGACGAGTGCAGGGTCGAGTTCGACGTCGGCGCGCTTCCGGGTGAGCCTGGTACAGGTGTCGGTGTACCTGCGCGTGGCGTCAAGCTGAAGCTATACGGCATTCCAACACCGCTGCCCCCACCAGGTCCATGTGTAGGCGACGCCGCAGCGCTACCAGCCCTCGCGCGGCCGGTGGACATGACACCCGCCCTCTCACGTTCCGCACGAATCTCGCGATCCGTGCGCTCCCAACTGACAGACGGCGGTGGCAGAGCGAGACCTGCCGGCGCTGATGCACCGGGAAGAGGGTCAACGGAGGATTGACGATGGAGGTACACGCCCAATTGAGCGCCGCGAGGAGGGCGGCGGACGAGCTGAACGTAGACGTTGTATAGACTTCCCGCATACCACACGGTGTGCGAGTGTAGACGCTGCTTCTCACGAAGGGCGTCTACGTCCCAGAATTCCGCCGCGAACCGCAATGGGGGGTGGCTCGTCCAGCGACCAGCGGTTCCATCGACATCTCCTGCCTTGGTGCGGTCGCTCGCGAGCCCGAAGAAGTCTGCTGCAGTGGGTGATGGTCCTTTGCCTCCTCCCGGACGTGTCGAATGCGTGCTTTGCAGTCCACTTGCCGAACTAGGGAGCTCAAATAGTTCGTCCAGGCTGGCACCCTCCAAACCCGATGTGTCTCCTACTCGCTCGGTGACCTCCGTCCGGACGGGCCACACGGCCATCTCGGCATCAACTTCGCCAGCGTCTACCGCTGCCTTTAGCTCCGCGGCACTAACCGCAACTCCGAGCTCGCTATTGCCTGCGTTGGGCTTCACACCAGGCGCAGGCGATTGTGGCGGGGAAGACGAGGAGGGCCTGACAATCGTGTGGCGCAACAGAGAAGCGGACCAATGAGCTGCTTGTACGAGGGCTCGGGGAACGAAGGTGCGGCCTGTCGTAGCGGAGCGTTCAGCGCTGAGTGCGACGAGATCGTCTACGGGGATATTCGCGTAGTAGATCCCTTCCGCGAACATACGCGTGAACTCTTGCTCCTCCGCAGCGTCGACGCCCTCCGCGCGCCGCAGCTCGACGATAGTCTTCGCCAATTCGTACCGCTCCTTCTCTCCGCGTACGCACAATGTGTCACTCGCGACCAGTGCGCGAACCCACGCGGCTCCTAGCCCACCGCGGCGCCATACTCGGGGTACATCTGGGGGAGGTGCGCCGGGTAACGCGGCCCCGACGCTCGTCGCGAATGGCATCTTGCCTTTCTCACGCTGACCCGCGCCACTGCCGCTTCCGGTCGAAGAGGGGGATGTCGACGGACGACCACCGCGCAACGGGCTGATAGGCGACGAGAGTACCGGAGTCTTGGGCGTAGGCGGTGCTGCAAGCGGGGGCGCAACCTGCAGTTCATATGCGAGCATATCCGGTCCCCATCGTGCGAGCCAACATGCGGCTGCTTGACCGATCTTGTCGCTTAAACCGCCGTACCGGAGGTATAGACCCCCATCGCTCTCCTCGCTCTCCTTGCCGTCCTCCTCATGCCCCTCTTGCTCCGGATCCTCCTTGCGCACATCTTCTTCCTCAACCACATCTCCGTGCTCCTCCGACCGTTGCGAGCGCGACAGAGTGAGCGTCTCGAAGCTCTCGGCAATGCTTGCAGCAGATGATTCGAGTTGCATCTCCGCTACACCCTCAAGACCCACGGCAGGGCTCTCATCATCGTCTCCATCCGCGCCTTCGCCTATTCCGTCTCCAATCGCGAACTTGAGATATGGTACCGCAGTACGCGGGCCGATGGTCTTGAGAATCATGCCGAGCGCTTGAGCCACAAGTGCGGGTAGGGCGAGATAGGCCGCCGTGGCTAGTAACGACATCAGGAAGCGTGGAGTGGCTGGTTGATGGCCCGCTGGTGTAGGCGGGAATGGTACGGGTGGTGGGTATGGGAAGGCGGGCGTCAAGGGTTGGGCCGTCGTGGGTATCAAGGCGGGTGAAAGGTGTAGGGCTGGGCCTCCGCCGTAGAGACGTGCGAGGCATAACCTTCGATAGGAGTAGATGTCAGCGTCTAAACAAAGTACGACTGCAGAGTAGAATGAAGACGCGAAAAGATCTCAGAGAGATATTGCGCTGAGGACGCAGGTTGAGCTTGACTGCGGGTAGCGAGTCTACTGGTCGCACGACGCTAGGGAGCACGCCATGGCACCCTAGCTCTCGTGCAAGTCTCGAGTCGCAACACATGCAGGTCAGCTCTATACATCAAACTGGCCGGCCCGGGAGAGTCTCCGGATATTCCGTAAACCCAGCCGCACATGCACCCCGACCGTTCCTGTGAGGGCGGGGAAGCCGCTGCCGGCAGCGAGTGGGGGGGCATTGACACCGTCAAGACGACGCGAGTGGCGCATCAGTAAGCGCATCATGACGTCGGCAGATGCGTGCAAGGACAGAAGCCTGGGGCAGAGATGAGGAGGACATCTTGGTGAATGCTCTCAACAACTCTCGCGTGCTTGATGCGCCTTATGTGCACCAGAAGCGATAGAGCAGAGGCAGCTGACTATCGCAAGGGCGGGAGAGGTACTCACTCGAAGGCTGTGCAATCGATACCGATAACCAGTCAGTCTTGGCAAGGATCCAATGGCGAAACTAGCGTACCAGCCCGAGTGATGTTAGTGTCGTAGAGCACGACGTCGACCTCGCCTCCGCCATGAGAGCTCTCTGCGAAGCCTCCGGTGAATAATTCCCGAAAGAAGCCCTGCTCGCGTGAGATGAAGTACGTCAAATCAAGGAAAGGTTACACGTACCGCTTGAACAAGCACAACTTTATGAGCGTGGTAGACGCCGTGCCAGGAGCGCCCTTGGACGTTTAGGGCGACATCTGGTAGAGAGCGGGTAAGGAAAGCAGAGTATAGGTGAGCCTGTAGTGTATCGCTGCTCGACGGCGCCGGCGCCGGCGGGGGCGGCTGTGCCATTTGTAGGCGACTCGGCTTGTGGAGGAGGGCGAGATGAGCGTTCAGGGCAAGCCAGTCTTGCGACGGATCGGTGTCCATATGAATACGTCGGTATGTTTAAGTAAACGGAAGAAGTTAGAGTTCGGTTCAGGAGTGAAGTGAACCTAAGCGCCCCTGACGCCTCGCTTTCAACCTCCATCACCTCCGCCGCAGCCCATGGCGTCTTCCCGCTTTTCCGTACTTTCTTCCTCCTCTCTGTCCTCGGCGGAGCTCCTCTCGCCTACTGGAAGCTCTTCACGATATTCTTTGCCCAATGCACCATCAATATCCACCGCCGTCGGCCCCAGTAAACCTATCGCTCGTACGACCATCTACGACCGACCTCTCAATAAAGCGCGTGCTGCCGAAGTCTCCATGTCCAGCTTCGCATTCTTGTTCTCCGAGATTGTGCAATATACGCAGAAGCGCGTCGCGGGTATCAGCGACTTTGAACGCAGGTTCTAGCCACTCTGCTGCTCTCCGAGCTCGAGCCTGATCGTGCTCTGCCGCGCAGGCTAAATACACTCGGATACCGTATCGGCACGCGCGTGCTCGAACTCATGATATGGCGAGACCAAGCAAGCTCGAAGCAGCCGAAACGAGAAATACGGTTCTTACCAGCGCTGATGGCCATACACAACAATGTGTGGAAAGCAGTATTTGGTCGGGTAGCGGACGGTGTCGAGCGCAGTGTTGAGAACTCCGATGAGTGTGCGTCATTGTTTTCATTGTTGGTTATCTGCTGACTTAGCTGTCAATGGGCTACAGACATGATAATCGACAATGACCCCGCAATCACGCGATCCATTTCCGTGCCACGCGAAATGAGCCAACTGTCGTGCTCATCATTCACGGCGGGGATGGTTGAGGCCGTTCTCGACGGGCTAGGATTTGTGCGTTGCACCGTCTCGGAATATATCTTTCTTGGCCTGACTTACAACGTAGCCGGCACGCGTCACGGCGCACAACACTCCGAATGCAGATCATCCTGCGCGCACCACAATTCTGATCAAGCTCGACCAGAGCGTACTGGCGCGGGAGGAGTTATTCAAATGAGTCCAAAACACGTTCTGTCACATAAATTTTATTTGATAGACCCTACTATCGCTGCATCTGATTAGTGCCACCGCGCCACCGGCTTATCTTGGGACTTATCTGTTGGGATATGCAAAGTTGCGTGGTGCGGCACCCAGAGATTATCGCGCACCATCTGTGTGGGCAGATTCCATGCTAGATCGTGCGGTGGGTTTGATGCGCGCGGAGCGATGCTACGCCCAGTCGTGTCGAGCGTGCACTCAACTTGAGGACTTACCACCACCAATATGGCACCGATCAACATAGAACTGGAATTTCTCACTTACTCGGCCTGCTTCCGTCTTGATTCGACCTCTCAGGCGCGCGCGTTGGAACACGCAATCGCGCAACACTTGGGTTACCCTAGGCCAGGCGAATTTCGTATACTGTTCAATGGCGACCGCGTGACGTCTAATCAGACTATTGCAAGCCAGTGGACTGAGAACGAAACGTCAGTGGTCTTCATGATGGAACAAGGGGGCCCAAGCTATCACCCGGGGCTCTACATGCAAACTCCCGAAAAGATCGATTGGGTGTGCTGGGAGATTGTCTACGCACCTGGCCCGGAGACTCGACGTCTGGACTTCCTTCCCAAGGCGGCCTGGCGTTCGGGTGGGATGGACTGGAGAGGATCCCTTCGCGGCCTCCGTAACCTGCCTTTGGAACAGCGGGGGGCGGGAGACATGGAGGGTACTGTAGAATGGGATGTCAGGTCCGTCCCGCTCCACATTACTGCCTATAGTCACTGATTCTCATTTCTCCTCACAACAATCAAGATAGCTGCGGGATCATTCGATCAAAACTCCGAGGCGAAGCAGCACACCCGTTTGGACGACAGCAACGCAGTGGTTCTAACATATACTGAAGTGGCACCGTACATACAGGGTGTTTTCGACGCTCTATCAATTGATCGCGGCATATCGTACGGCTTTCTCAGGTGGACATACCCTTTGCTCAACGGATAGGATATCATCTGACAACTTAGGATGCCACTTCATCAGAAACTATTACAACGCGCTCATCGCGACTCCCTACCTTGCCGTCCGCTTCGTCGATCAGGCGAGTTACGAGCGCATCGCACCAATCTCTATCTGGCCTCCGCCGCAAGTCATGGCGCGTATTGTTATGCTGTTTCAGCATGTAGAGCAAGCCGAGCTGGGCTGTTGGAAAGGAGCGATGGCGCGCGCCAAAGCAGGGTCATCACTCTGGAAGGATGTCGTTGGTTACGACGGACGCGTGGCGGACCAAAATGCATACCGTGTATTAGAATGGAGAGCGATTGAGGTCACCGAGGACTGCAAATATTGCCGATACAAAACGTGGGGTGACACCGCACACAGAGCTTCAGCGCCCGGCCTGCGGCCGCGGCCCAGGTGATTCTGCGCCCTATAATGAGGATTGTATCTCTACCACTGACGTCCTCTTTACAGTATATGTATAGTAGGATGAAGGTGTTCGCTTCATTGTGAGGCGCTCCTATGTACTATGTAACCTCATGATTACTAGATGCCAACCTCTGAGGATAAAGTCGGGAGTGCGTGACAGACACGATCAGTCACGCCTTGATCATCATCACGCAATATGCGTTGGCTCGGTGTCGTGCGCGTTGCTCCTAACGACGCCGACGTACATCGCCAGAGCCATATCAACCCCGTCTCACTGCCGCGACTTTGTCACCACTCACAATGCCGGTTCTCAACCTACGCGCCTCTCTCGGCGCGAACACGGCGAACTTCCGCATCTCATCGAGGGCCTCGATCAGAGAGTTGGTGTATGCCATAGACAACCTTATCGGTCTCGGTGATCCTAGCAGGCTCCGCATCTTCAGCAGAGGGGGACAGCTCCGCGAATCTGATACGCGTACTGTGGAGGAAGCCAACGTTCAGAATGGCGATCAACTCCGTGTCATATTCGGATTGAACGGCGGCTACGCTGCGGATGGCATCTACTTTGCCTCTCCTGAGGAGGTCCCGCAGCTCAACCTGGAGGTCTCGTTCTCTCCTGGACTTCTGGCGTCCCAGATATTCAGGCCCGGTAACGGATGGTCGGGGCCCATGAGGGTCTTTGAGTGGAGTGGCTCGATCTTGAGCGAGCGTGGGTATGGCACTTTGTCTTGCTTGCAAGAGCGCGATACCGCTCGGAAGGATCACGCTATCACTTGGGAAATCAGGTACGCGTGAACATACCTCTTCTCTTTTTCTCGTGTTGAAGATTGCGCAGCCCGGACCTCTCCAACGCAGAGACTGACCCCGTGAACGAGCATTTCGCCCTGAACGACACCAACGCGGTCGTGCTCAAATGGAACGAGGCTTCCGCATATCTGTTCCAGGCTCTTACGTCGTTCAGTTTGGACCGTAGCAGTATCGAACGCTTCTCCATGTGAGCCTACCGAGCTTCCCTCCGAAGTTTCTATCTTGAGATTGATCGGCTTGTAGGAGATATTCCGAACGACTCACTAAGAGCAACTACGTCGCCATCCGCTTCTTAGACCAGGCGACATACGAGCAACTCGTCCCGCTCTCTGTTTCCCCTCCTCCGGACGTCGTAACGCGTATCGTACTGCTCTTCCAGAACCTGAGCCAAGCCGACGTAGCAGCGTGGCCCCAAGCCCAGGCGCGCGCACAGACGGGGCCGAACTACTGGAAGGAGGTCATTGGCTTCGATGAACGCGCCACGGACGCGTCGCTCTACCGCGCGTTGGAATGGAGGGCGATTGAGATCCCTGCCGCAGGAGCTGCTGCATAGAACATCTCTGTGACATACAGCTACCCGCCTATTGTTTGTATAGTACAGTCGCGTTGAATAAGGCCCTACTACTACTAGTCTTACTTGTTCCAACTTCCTGTAACTTCGTCCGGCGCTGGTGAAGTGCCTGTCTACCAGTACTTCGTGTAGCATCGTGTAGCGTCACAAATGTAGTGGCAGGGCATGGGTGATGTGGTGTACCAACCTCAATAAGCACTTGATCCCGAACCACCATGTCGACCACCACAACATACCTCTTCATGCCCATGCCGCTGTGCACCCGCAGTTTTATCACGTATCATCGAAAGACACTATTAGAACATGCTATGTCCGCTGTTCCCAGCCACATGGGTGGATCGTTCAGAGGCAGCCGAACGAGCTGAATGCGACAGCGCCTCCCGCTCCTTCTGGGGTTATACGTCCTGTGGCGCTATAATGATGGGCACAGCCTCTGCATTCAGCGTTGCGATCTCCCGCGCGCTCAAACGTTTGAGCATCCCCTTTGACGGGCGTAACGGGCGCGCACAAAAGAACTGATCCACGTATTCGGACATCGAAGCGCCCCGTGCATAAAAGGCTGTCTGATCATCTGCCTCGCCCACTCCACACCCCATCTTTCCCTTTTCTGCTCGTGTTTCGGTTCCTTCTCACCTTCACGCGACCATGGTTCAACTCTTCCGCGCGCTTCTCAACGTCGGGCTCCTGGCCACCGCATCCGCACAAAAGCCATGGAAAGTCATTGTTGGTAACGAGACCGGCGCGGCGCTCTTCGACCCTGTATCTCTGGTGCGTCTCCAAGCCTGCGTGCTTCTTTCCGAGCTCACAGACTGTCTAGGATGGCGTCTCTTCGGGCGACACAGTGACTTTCATCTTCAGTCCCAAAAACCACTCGGTCACCCAGTCGAGCTTCGCCGAGCCTTGTCGACCGTTGCCCAATGGCTTCGATACTGGGTTGTGCGTGCTCTGAGTGCCTCATGCGCGACGCCGAACTCACACTACCATAGCGCACACCCGGTGGCTATTGGGGCACCACTTGCCGACCGCCCGACGTTCACTTACACCATGAACGGCGTACGTAGTCGTTCTGATCATGTGAATGCGTGTCTAATTGTATCCATTTCAGACGGGACCAGTATGGGTTTATTGTCGCCAAGCCCAATTCACCGCTCAAAGCCACTGTGGACAGGTACGCCTACAGAGTATGTTATCGGTCTATATGTACTGATTGAGTACGTTCTCTAGGACATGGTCTTTGCCATCAACCCAGATGCGCCTGGTACTGGTGCCAACCGCACACTGGATGCCTTCCGGAACAATGCGATAGCAGAGGCTTGGTCCGACTTGCTCTACGGCAACGTCACGACCTCCAACGGAACTTCCACGACCGCAACTGCATCGACGAGTGGAGCACAGCCAACGCAGAGCGGATCGTACGACGCTCCGCAAGCCGATTCACTCGCTGCCGCCGCCGTCTCTGGCGACGACAGCTCGAGCGGAGACTGGAGTGCCCTCCTTGACAAACTGAACAGCCTTGCGCCGGTCGTTTTCGGCCTGCTTGGCGGCATACTCGTTCTTCTGCTTGCCATTTTGGGCGTGGGCATCACCTTGTGTTTGCGGCGTGGCGCAAGTGCGGGCGCTGCCCGTCAGATCAGCCCTAACTACGCCCCTGTTCGTCGGCAGGACCGTGTGGACTTCCCGGAGGGCGATCGGTACTCGGACAACGCGCTCAAGTATAGCGATGCGTGAGGGCATCTGTGCTTTCTCGTGGATTGATTGCTATCTGGGCTGGTTGCGAACATTCGTCTTGATGACTGGATCATCTTTGTACCATGATACTTTCCATTGCTCTGTATTGATCGTCGCGCTTCTCTCCACCTCGCATGTAATGATTACGATTGTGATACACATATAATTACCGTG